GCCTCCGGATAACTCCAGTACACTGGTCTGTTCCTGCTGTATGAGGCCATACAGAATAAATCCACTGTTCCACAAATGTGTGAAGTGTCTTGCAGTCTGAATTTCAGAATCTAAAGCAGAACCTGGGGTTTGATCTTTTATTTTCTTCCTTAGGTCTGGATTTATAATGAAGAGCATGAGTTGGTTTTAAATAATCTCCTTTGCCTGGATATGTCAGAAACCCGTTCATCGGACCCACCACGGCTCATGAAGTGCCACGGGTCAGGAGGATCCCAGCAGTGGACCTTTGGGGTGAGGCGCTTGTTCAGTGGTGATGCAAGGACGTGTGGAGAGGCTGAGTGAGGGAGCCGGGCCGAGGGCCTCACTCTGCCCTGTGGACGGTGCTCCTGAGTTTGCAGTGTCCTGTGAACAATCTTAAATGTCCCACATCTCTTCTAGGTTTCTGTCTGTTTACCATATTCTGACAATACATTTTTTAAGTGAAAGCAAATAACTGGTGTTTTTTTCTTGGTATCACTTCTTTCTCAGAGGAATAATCGACTGTACCAGGTGTCAGTTGGACAGTGCCTGGGAGTGGCTGATCCGCTGAGTCACAGAGGCTCTGTTGCCATGGCAATCTGTGATGGCTCCTCCTCGCAGCAGTGGCACTTGGAAGGTTAAGGTTGGTGCCGTGTCTGGAGTGGTTTGTCCTGCTCGCCCGCAACGTGGAGATGCCTGGGGAGATCAGCAGAGGTGAGACAGCATACGCAGTAGAGATTGGAGGGCCAGATGACCACCAGGAGGTGAAGAAGTGTGTTTCTCCAGGACGTTCAGGTCCTCTCCGAGCTGCTGTTAAGAAATTTCTTGCTTGTGGTAGGAAACCAGAATACAGTTTTAACTTTTTGAAGAGTCAGGTTTGTACAGGATAAAGCCCAGGAAATTGACATGTCTGTTCAAAGTTATTTATGCTTCTTTTTAATCCTCTTTGATAATGGAGTAGCGTCTGTCTCATCAGGAACTTGTCATGATTTCCTTTCTTAGAACATTTCATAGGTGACAGTTTTATTTTTATTACCATGTTCTAAATAGTTTTAATTAAAATGAATCCACATTACTTTTAACTTCAGAAGGCATCATTTATAAGATTATATTTAAGAGGCAGTTAGCTATTATAAATTATTTTGATGAATTATGGTATTATCTACATTTACAATAAAGGAGCCTTTTGATTATTTACGAGGGTTTTTTTGTCTGCTCTTTCATCTTCTGTTGGGGCCTCCGGTGTGAGTTGCCCTGCATACATGATAAATGGTAAGAAAGGCCCTGGGATTTGGCTGATGAACCAGTACACGAGGTAGCAGACCTAACCTTAGCGATTTTCAGTTTCTTAGCTTGAACTGTGTAAATTTGAAGCTGAAGGCGTGTGACTTTGGATACTTTAAAGTTGCCTGTGAAACCTCCAGGTAGAGTTGTGAAATAGGTATTTGGATACAGAGGTCAGGATTTCAGACGATAACCTCAATTAAAGATCTGAATTTAGGAATCATCTTTATATATTATAAATGCCAAAATATAAAGTGAGGTTTTTTCCACCAAAATTACGTCTCAGAGGAGACATAGTCTCATAGTACAGGGTATTTTCTTGAACCACAAAGCAGTTTAAGCAGCATATTGGAAACATGTTGGAGAATAATATATTCTGTATCTATATACTGAACATTTTATCTGTAATTCGGTTTTGAAGACCAGATGGTACCTATAGAAAACAAAAAGCAAGATGGAAGATTTAAACACAACAAAATCAGTAATCACGTTAAATGTAAAATAATACAGTTGACCTTAGCTCACGTCTGTGCTGCCTCGGTGAGTGTTGTCAGATGTCCTGCCAGAAGGCCCACAACTCTGGGAGTGAAGTCTGGGCCCCGCGGGTGCCTTGGAAGCACGGAGGAGATCGGCCACGATGGCGGCGTGGAAAGAACCTGAGCTCGCTTCCTCTCACGGCGACAAAACTATATTTGCAGAACCACCACCATCAATGGAAAAGACTGTAACCTACCAGGAAAGAGCTTCTACAACTAAAGATACAAAGAAGGACCCACAAGACAGGTAGGAGGGGTGGAGTAGCAACATAGTGAAGTCCCGCACCCCCAGGGGGCACTAACAGGGGAGCAGTTATAACTGCAGAAGTTCTGGAGTGGAGGGTCCAAGCCTTGTAGTGGGCTCCCCAGCCCAGGAGTCTCGCACTGGGAAGACGAGCCCCTAGAGCATTCGGCTTTGAAGGTCAGCAGAGCTTCCTTTTAGGAGCCTCAGAGCCTTCACTCGTAAAGGGCGCACGCAGTCTCACATGCTCCCAGACCTGGGGCAGAAGCAGTAGTTTGAAAGGAGCCTGGGTCAGACCTACCTGCTGATCTTGGAGTCTCCAGGAGAGGGAGCGGGCAGCTGCAGTTCACCCTGGGGACCGGCCATTTTGGGGAGCTCATTCTGCAATGTGGACACTGGTGAGTGCCCTCCACCTTGTTATCCTCAGGACCCGTGCCTGCCCTAGGCCAACAGCCTGCAGGCAACCGTTGCTAGGACACCTCAGGCCAAACAGCTAAATGAGCATGGGTGCAGCGTCACCTCCTGGCAGACAGGCTGCCTTAAGAACCTGTGAGCCCACAGTTCCCCTAGACGTGGCCCTACCCCCCAGAAGTTCCCAAACCCAGGGCCATGCGCTAGACCCTCCAGAAAAAGACCCTGGGCCCCGGCCCTGTGCGTCAGCCAGGCTGCTCTGGCCTCAGGACCAGCCTCACACACCAGCCCACCTACTAGCAGGACAGATCCTGCCCTGAGACTGGCTGGGCCCTGGCCCCGCCTGCTGTCAGAGCGGCACAAGCTACCGGCCATCCCAGACCCTCGGCCAGCTGTGTCAGGAACGAGCCCCACCCACCAGCAATCCAACACCAGCTCTGGGACTCCTGGGCCCTGGAACCAGACCCCAGGACCTGGCTTCACCTACCAGTGGGCAGGCTGCAGCCCTGGGGTCTCCTGGACACTAACTCCAGGCCTCTCCGGGCTTTTTCAGTCAGCCTCCTTGTTACCCAGCCCCCACTGCACAAGGCAGGGCCTGGCAGCCAAGTCTACCAGACACTTACTGCAGTAGCCCCACAGCACAGGGCCCCACCAGCCCTCACAGGAGGAGCCCCCAGAGGCGATAGCTCTGGTGATGAAAGAAGGGTGCGCTGCTCACAGACGTGTCTCTTACAAAAAGCCATTTCTCCAAGGTCGGGAAATGTAACCGAACCACTAGATACATAAAAACAGCAAGTTAGGCAAAAGGCAGCGACAGAGGAGCATGTTCCAAACGAAGGAACAAAATAAAACCTCAGGAGAAAGAACTAAGTGAAATGGAGACAGTCTGCCAAAGAAAGAGTTGAGGGCGGTGACCACAAAGATGGCCAAGGACTCGGGAGAGGAGTGGACATACAGGGCAAGAGGCTAGAAGTTTTTAACAAAAAGGAAAAACAGCCAAACAGATGAAGAATACAGTAACTGAAATGAGAAATACACTAGAAGGAGGCAATAGTAAAAGAGGAACAAACAGATCAGTGACCTGAAGACAAGAGTAGTGGAAATCACTGGTGATGAACAGAAAAAAGAATGCAGATAAATGAGGACAGTGTGAAAGAACTCTGGGACAACAGCAAACAGACTGTTTGCATGATAGGGGTCCCAAAAGGAGGCGAGAGAGGAAGGCACTGAAGACGTATGTGAAGCCGTACTAGCCAAAAATTTCCCTAACCTGGGAAAGGAAACAGATATCCAAGTCTAGGAGGTACAGAGTCCCACACAGGACTAACCCAAAGAGGAATTCACCAAGACACACTGTGATTAAAATGGCAAAGATTTAAAGCCGGCAGTGGAAAAGCAGCAAGTTCCTTGCATGGGAGCTCCCGAAAGGTGCCAGCTAAATGTTCAGCTGCAGAAGCGGGTGGTCTGTTCACAGCGACGCGAGGGGAAGGCTACAACTGAGAACA